ACTCCCGTTCATGCCATCATGGAGTTGCCTCACAATGGCGATGAATTTTGGTGGGCAGCCAAAGCGGTTGAGAGTCCGCCAGAGGGCTTTCTTGTTGACCGAATCGAAGGCCTTGGCTAGGTCAATGAAAGCCATGTGCAGGTCACGACGCTGTTCTCTGCACTTTTCCTGTATTTGACGGGCAGCAAAGATTATGTCAGTGGTGCCACGTGATGGTCTAAAGCCACATTGATATTCTGGGAGGAAGTTTTCCGCCTCAGGAAGAAGTCTGTTTTCGAGGACTCGGGCGATAATCTTGCCAGCTACGGACAGCACTGATTAAGTAGGCATGACGTGAGTGATTCATTGGGACTCAGAGCGTCATGAAGTGCTCGTTGATCCCAATAGGCATTTCAGTTAGTCTGTGTAGGATGCGTTGGCAGATGACAAAGCCAACTCCATAAATGCGGTTTCTCTCCGCAGAAGGCTTACCCTTCTAGAAGAAAGTATAGCCAGACCCTCGTCTGGGAACCGGGACTCACTAATGGCTGCTATTTCGATGTTTTACCTAGCCAGCTCTTTTGCCATAAGGGCGGTTCTTTTTTCAGGACGCTCATCCAGAAGGGTCCTCACATTCCATGCAGCGACCATAAGAGGTTGAAAATGTTTTTTTATCTGTGATTATGATTGTGTTACACACACAGTGATTTACTTGTATATATATATATATATATATATATATATATATATATATATATATATATATATATATATATATATATATATATATATATATATATATACTTTTACTTTTATCCTCTTCGCCACTGATCGGCTTGTTAGCCGCTTGGGCTATCGGTCACGTCTCTGTAACGCACTGTTGGCAAATACTGGGCATGCACCAGCTCCTGAATGTACCTGAACCCGCTCCAGTGTTGGTCAAGTCTTGTCTTGAAAGAGCTCACACTCGGTGCCGTCAAAACACTCTCTGGTAGATTGTTACAAGAGTTTAAAACCCTCACCCCGAAAAAGTTTGCCCTCGCGGTTTTCTGGACTTGCGGCTTCTTCAATCTTGAGCTGTGACCCCTTGTGGGGCGAGCGTCCGCCAGCTCCAAGTAAGGACACTCAACTGAGTAGTGCCCCTGAGATGCTTATACACCTCAACTAGGTCCCCCTTGCCCGTCTGTAGTATAAGCTAGGCAAGTTCAGGCGCTCCAATCTCTCAGGGTAGCTGAGGTGCCGAAGTGCAGGCACCAGTCTGGTGGCCCTCCTTTGAACATTTTCAACCAACTGACAGTCCCTAGCATATCTCGGGGACCAGATGGGGTGACAGTACTCCAGATGGGGAAGCACTTCACTCCTGAAGATCGTTTTACCGCTATGCAAAGTCGAAATTTAAAACACGAGTAGGAGTATCAGACCTGAGGCTGGTGGATGGTAGTTACGCAGATTCTGACCAGGATAAAGCTGAGGCATTGAACAGCTTTTCCTCAGTGTTCACAAGAGAGGATGCAACTAACCTTCCTGTGTTTGAGGACAGACGGTTCGACACAGCACTGACCCACATTGTGTTCACAGAAGAGGGTATTAGAAATAAACTGTCCAGGCTAAAGGTCCATAAGAGTCCCGGCCCTGACATGGTGCCTCCTAGAGTGCTAAGAGAGTTGTGCAACGAGCTTGCCGAGCCCCTGAAGATCCTGTTTTGTAAATGCCTGGATGAACAAATGGTCCCCAGTGAATGGAAAGTAGCTTATGTGAGTCCTGTCTTCAAGAAGGGCGATCGTCACTCCACGAACAACAATAGACCGGTGAGCCTGACCAGCATAATATGTAAAGTACTTGAGAGTATTATCAGAGATGCCGCAATGGAACATCTAATACGAAACAACCTTGTAAAAGATTGCCAACACGGTTTTATGCCGGGGCGCTCCTGCTTAACACAATTGCTCAAGGTATTGGATATTTGGACCCATATTCTGGAACGGGGTGGTAATATCGACAATGTTTACCTAGATTTTGCCAAGGCTTTCGACATTGTACCCACGAAAGGCTTAAAACTGGAAGGGTACGGAATTCGGGGAAATGTCCCAGCGTGGACAGAAGACTTTCTACATGACCGGGAGCAGTGTGTGGTGATTAATGGTACGAAATCGTCATCTGTACCTGTCACAAGTGGGGTACCACAGGGCAGTGTATTGGGCCCTCTGTTGTTTGTTTGTTTCATAAATGACATGCCTGACGTTGTACACTCCTCCATACAAATGTTTGCCGATGACTCCAAGTTATTTCGGGAAATTAAGAACCATGCGGACTGTGAAGAGCTGCAGAAGGATCTCTGTGGGCTCCAGGAATGGTCGAAGAAATGACTGCTGAGATTCAATGTCACGAAGTGTAAGAGGATGCACCTGGGTCGTACCAACGGTAAGGAGGCGTATCATATGTCCCAACGGGATGAAGAAACTGCGCTAGTTGAGACTGTGTGTGAGAAGGACCTAGGTGTGTATGTTGACAATGAGCTGAAGTTCTCGGGCCATTGTGAGAAGAAGGTAAATCAGGCAAATAAATTATTGGGTCTTATAAGAAGGTCGTTCAGATATCTAGACGGTCCGTCCCTTGTAACGATCTTCAGGAGTGAAGTGCTTCCCCATTTGGAGTACTGTCACCCCATCTGGTCCCCGAGATACGCTAGGGACTGTCAGTTGGTTGAAAATGTTCAAAGGAGGGCCACCAGACTGGTGCCTGCCCTTCGGCACCTCAGCTACCCTGAGAGATTGGAGCGCCTGAACTTGCCTAGCTTATACTACAGACGGGCAAGGGGGGACCTAGTTGAGGTGTATAAGCATCTCAGGGGGCACTACTCAGTTGAGTGCCCTTACTTGGAGCTGGCGGACGCTCGCCCCACAAGGGGTCACAGCTCAAGATTGAAGAAGCCGCAAGTCCAGAAAACCGTGAGGGCAAACTTTTTTGGAGTGAGGGTTGTAAACTCTTGGAATAATCTACTAGAGAGTGTTGTGACGGCACCGAGTGTGAGCTGTTTCAAGACCAGACTTGACCAACACTGGAGCGGGTTCAGGTACATTCAGGAGCCGGTGCATGCCCAGTATTTGCCAACAGTGCTTCGCAGAGACGTGACCGATCGCCCGGGTGGCTAGCGAGCCGATCTTTTGGTGAAGAAGATAAATGAAAAGGAAAAGTAATTAAAGACGTGACCGATCGCCCGGGCGGCTAGCGAGCCGATCTTTTGGTGAAGAGGATAAAAGTAACGAGCACCTTAGCTTTCGTCTTTATTTCAAGACATCTTCAGAAGCAACTGAAGATGTTTTGAATACAGACGAAAGCTAAGGTGCTCCGTTGTTTCCCTTTTCCCTTGTGATTCTATCGAGATTTATCTTATCCACGTTTTCATTGTGGATCCACATGAAATATATATATATATATATATATATATATATATATATATATATATATGTATATATTTTCGACAATTCAAGCAGTAAAGGGACAACCATGTGATTAAATACAAAAATCACCCAAAGAATCTCGACTGTAGGTAACGCTGGGGGAGGGAGATTCTTGAGGTGGAGTGGGCTCGGGAGGAGATGCTCCAAGTGTTGTCGGATCAAATGTGCATTAATAATATTTGGTGAAGAGGATAAAAGTAAGTTAGGAATTTTTTTTTATGGAGTTTGGCGGAGCTCCGTCACGAACGACGTGGCAAACACATGCTAAGTTGTATTTTGTTTAATTTAAGAAGTTATCATTAAGCAGCTGACTTAATGCTAAAGGTTTTCCTGTAGCGCTGTATACCATCACTCAGCTAAGAATCTGATATAGACTTCTACAATATAGAACTTACATCTACAAACGTTTGGTATATATACCATAAAAAGTGTATGTGGCAACTACAAGGCGGAAGACACGTTTCCTTACTTAACTGTTGCCAGATTCCTCTATTTTATCTAATATTCCTTTACGCCACTTTTCACCTTACTACCAGTTGTTAAAGAATTTGCTGTATTTAAACATTGAATAACGGCCAAATTGTCTTTACAATTGGATATATTTTCCAAGAATATATAATCACGGTATCAGTTAAAATCTATAGCTACATCGAATGCAGAAAAAATGGCGATATATAATATAATAAATGTTATTTGATCAAGATTCCAAGAACTGCATGATAAGGGTATGTGGTTTATGCTTTTTGGTAGACTTCATGTTCCAAAAATTAAGTGTGTATCTTTCAACCTAAATAAATACTTTAATTTTTGTTATTCAATAATGCTATACGCCTTCGGTATTCAGCAACATGCAAATAAATTATACTACACACTATTATATGTTCATTTAGTATTTTAACTTATTCACACACGTCTATCTACTTACAACATTTCAACTGTACAATTTGCTTCAACTATGAGGCCAAGTTCTAATAAAATACATACAGTATATGATGGCAGAGGAAAAAGCGCGAAACTAAATCTGTGTGTAGTTAATTAGGATCTATGTCTCCAACTTCTCCCAGTACACATTTTACTTAGATAAAATTATACTGTATAAGTTTGACAGATGTTTGAAGGGTCTCTTGTACTGTAAATCTATTAAAGATTCGAAGAATTTATTGCCATCTGTTCAGGAAGTCTAGTAAATATCTGCTGTGGCATTGTAGCGTCTTTATTGATTCTTTTATCATTGCACAGTCATAAGTTTATATTGTAGTTTTAGATAGATAATATATTTCATATTGAACAAATTGATTCACAGCTTTAAATAACTAATAACGTCAACAGACCAACGACCGGTTAACAAGTTGTTTACTGTTGAACGTTTAAAATAACATATATCCTCATATGAATAAAAATTCATAGATAATATTATATATATATGACATTCATGATTTCTTTTACTGTAACAAGACTGATTTTTGCATTTATACAAGGGAAATTTAATATAAATAGCAGGAATGTAAAGGCAATATGGCAACTGCGGTGGCCGAGCCCCCGAGCCAAGGGAGGTAAGAGCAGCGGCAGCCCAGTGAGAACACCCGCGCCGTCGCTGTAGACCTGCGCACATTGGTCCAGTGCTTGTATCATTCATTCGTGTCTTCTGTTGCTATTGATAATGGCTGACGACGAAGGAGACAAAACTGTAGTCGTCGCGGATGATGTGGGCCACGCTTATGGCGAGTGGTTCAAAAAATACATGCGTTTATTTGGCAGGAGGTTCTTTGAGTGGTTCTTGGTGTACCTGTTTGGTTACTACAATGTTAGTTTTGGGTGGCTCATGGCTCCTCTGTTCTTCCTTGTCCTGAGGGATAAGAGGGCCAAGGAAAAGCAAGTTAAATTTGACATTATTCGATCGATCGCCAACACTGACGAGAAGGATATTCTGCAAGAGATTCAGCGGTTCTCTAACCTGCCATCATGGGTAAGTCTCCCAGCCAACCAGTTTCACTCTTTAGTTTATGTTCCTCTTATTTACTACATGCTTTTGACTCTTCAGCGATTCTCAGTATATTTCCTCTAAATATTTACTTCCATTTTGAGCATAAATTTTATTGTTGACATACCGTGTGGTTAAAGTGAAATAACTATGAAAGACGAAAATTTCATTTTCGTTTTATATAATTTTTCAATTTAACTTTGATTTAAAGGAGACAACAATAAATGCGCGATAGAATTACTTGTAATAACGAGGAAAATGTGGGTGGGGGGCGGGAGTGGTTACATGCAACCTGACATTGAACCGTGACCTTCCCTGTGGCTCCACGTGAAGGGGGGGAGGGTACCGGCAGTCTCTCAATCCTCTCGACAACGGAAATGCACAGTCAATTAACACATCTGCGTTTATATTAACTACGACACATGCGTACAGAGGCTTCCCGGTATATTATATATTATTTTTGGGTTAGTTTAGTGAAATTGACATAACAAAATTGTTGGCTGACTTGGGACGTTTGGGTAGGATTATGTAAACTAAAACTAACCATGAAACTTTAGGGAGACAAGAAGTTTGATTCTGTACCTGTTGTTAATATCCAAAGATGCTAAGAGCATCTGTTGCTGTATGCGATAGGTTCCCAAAAATATCGTTCCAGCTGTGAACCCCTAATATGACCGCTAAAGGTTCTGCCGGTGTAAAATATAATGGAACCTTAACCAAACCTAGTATACGTTATATAATATACAAATTTGAGTACATTGATTTTGTTGTGGTTAAGGAAAGATCGATAAGGTTTTAACCAAGCAAAACCTGACCAAACATCGGGTAATCTCTATAAACCATACAGACTGAAGGCCTTACGAATAATAACACTTCAGACAAGAAACGGTATGGCAGTTATCATAGACATTGAGAATATTGAACAGGATGGAAAACGTGAACCCGGGACATTTTTTGTGATGTCACGCACTACCAACACGAGGGGAATAAGTTCAAGCGCGCCAAGATATCAAGGAGGAATAAAGAAAACACTACTCTGCAGCTGGGTACCATCGAGCTAGCCTGTTCTTTTATTCCTAGAAGCAATTTTATTGTATGTATTGAACTAATTAAGTTGGTTTGTGCGATCTGCTTCGTAGGGGGCTTACAAAATCTTTTTTCTTTGCCCTTCTCTCATACCGGATTTGCATCCTGTGTAATAAAATATAAATTATCTTTTATTTTACTTTTATCCTCTTCACCACTGATTGGCTCGTTAGTAGCTCGGGCGGCTGGTCGCGTCTCTGCGAAGCACTGTTGGCAAGTACTGGCCATGCACCGGCTCCTGAATATATCTGAAGCTGCCACAGTGTTGGTCAAGTCTGGTCTTGAAAGAGCTCTCACTCGGTGCCGTCACGACAGTCTGGCAGGTTGTTCCAAGAGTTCACAACTCTCACTCCGAAAAAGTTTACCCTCAGTTTTCTGGACTTGTGGCTTCTTCAACCTTGAGCTGTGACCCGTTGTGGGGCGAGCGGCCGCCAGCTCCAGGTATGGACACTCGACTGAGTAGTGCCCTTCGAGATGTTTATACACCTTAATTAGGTCCCCCTTAACCGTCTATAGTATAAGCTAGGCAGTTGCAGGCGCTCGGGAATCTCAGGGTAGCTGAGGTTCCGTAGAGCAGGCACCAGTCTGGTGGCCCTCCTTTGGACATTTTCAACCAACTGACAGTCCCTTGCATATCTCGGGGACCAGACAGGGTGACAGTACTCCAGGCGGGGAAACACCCGACTCTTTGAAGATCGTAACGCGGGATGGACAGTCTAGATATCTGAACCTTATAAAACCTACAAGTTTAGTTGCTCGATTCACTTTTTCACAGCTGCCCGAGAAGATCAGTTCATTGTCAACATACACATCCAGGTCCTTTTCGCATTCGGTGTCTATTAATGCAGCTTCGTCCCGTTGGTAAAGGTTGTATTTACCCTCCGAAATATTGAATAGGTTACAGACCACAGCGACCCCCCCTCCTTCCCCCACAACACACCGTGTTTATTCTACACCACCACCACCGAGGAAAGCTTACAATTTCGTGAATCCTCTACATCTTTAACGGGAGTGGCGCTCATTACCCGACACCGGTGCCCCAGCTGGGCCTTCCGGTGTGTCATGACTCACTACAGTAGACAAAACGTTCAGGAGCGGAGAGATGTTTTCGGCAATTTCTAATAAGCAGAAGAGTTCGTGTATGTAGCGCAGTTGGCTGGTTTTGGGGCTGCCGAAGGCGGGGTGTGGACGAGTGTATGCATTGTAAGAAAGTGCATAGGAGAAGAAGAGTGTACTCAAGAGAGAATTGATGACGTGAGCTGGTGTAGAATGCCTGAAGGCGTTGTGGGTGGGTGGGTGGTTGGTAGGGCCCATGGGGTCGAATTTAAACGATAGAGCCAAACCGGCGATGGAGTTCGTCGAGGTGTATACTGTAGTTAATGAGGCGACGGGTCTACACTGCTTACCGTGGAGAATTTGACACCAAGGATGGCATTGAGGGATGTAATTCGATCGCAGACGAGTGGGGGGGGGGGCAGCATCAGTTCCCTCGATATTCTAGTATTCATGAAGCGACCAAAGTGAACCTCGTCGCCCTATTTTGTACATCGTCACTCATGTTTCGTTACGGGAGGCAACGGCGAGGACAGGAGAGTCGTACTTTATTGTTGTCAGGACGATGGTGAACACGAGTCGTAGGTCTCATGACTTTGGCTCCATTGAGTGAGAATGGGTAAGGGACTGAAGTTCTCTTCGTTGTCGGCACAGATTGAGCACATAAGCAACAATAGTGGCGGTGCACACAGGTAGACCCAGAGAAGGCAAGCATGAACTCTGCATGCTTCCCTGTTGGGCGCTGTTAAGCTTTCACCCCTTGCCTTGCACAATATGTAAGGGGGTGCCCAATAAACTAGCCCCCGCGCTGCGATGACTACACCTTGTAGGCTTAGCGGGGTCTGACGCCTTCAACGTTAAGGACTTTTGTTCTGGTATACAAGGATATTAATCTAAAGGGTTTGACTGGTGAGGGCGAACGTGGGGAGGTCGGACTTCCTGGTGCAGGGCAGGATGTGCTCCTGGTGCAGGGCAGGATGTGCTCCTGGTGTAGGGCAAGATGTGCTCCTGGTGCAGGGCAGGATGTGCTCCAAGTGTTGTTCAGCTGGTAGAGAGTTCAGGATAACGCTAGATTAGTGGAGCTGAGGTCGCCTCTTTGAGACGTTAGATCAAGGGTTTTGGCTGGAGTTATGGCCCTAGAAACTTAACGAGCCTGGTGATGAGTGGCAGACACCGTACAGGTCATTAATCCTTCAAGTTCACCTCCCCTGCCCTCTGACCCTCTCCACCCCTCACCTCACCTCACCACACTTTCCCAGCCTCGTGCAGTGCACGTTGCTCTCATATGCTGCACCGGAAGAGAAACTTTCAAGCTTTCACAGTTCTGCTTTCGTTCTAATTTTTACTTATTCAACCTCAACGTAATTTGTTTTTGGCATGCAAAGGAAACTTTGAGATTAGATATAATTTAATAGCCACATAGGCCATATAGGGTGTAATGCTTCGGGTGGGGAGGAGGGGTGTGATCGCCAGCCTGGACCAGGCTTAGTGGTCGCAAGTCTGTAGAGAGATCCTCGTCAACATAAACATCGTTTGGGACCCATAAAGATTGCCCACTAATGTTAATACCTGGGTTAGATTAAGATCAGGACTGCAGGATCCATTAGACCAGTCACTAGTGACGGAATGGATAGGCTGTCTCGGGAAAAATATAAATACTGCACTCTTAGATTTTCGTGGAGATCGCTTGAATTCTTTATTACAACAACATTGTCCTCACTTGAAGTGTGAGGTATCCCACAAGTGATGAAGTTGCTGTTGTAATAAATCATTCACGATCTCCACGAAAATCTAAGACAGTACAGTATGTATACATATTCATACGCCTTGTATATAAATACACCGTATAACATGGTACGTCGCAAGTATTCTTTTCCTAAATTCGTATCTAAATTTTGAGGGTGAAAATTATTGTACCGGGTACCGGTAATTGAAGGACATGGTTAATGTTGTTCCATTGTGTACAGTATTTAACACAGCGTATTTTTGGTCATGTTCACTTAAAAAAAAAAATAATCGTATTTGTGTATCGTGCTTATTGATTCATTTGTCGATATAACGAGGAAAGGGATCTTATTTACGGCTTCATTTATATGACTGGCCCGGGGTCTTTGAAGGTTCTGTATTACCTGGATGTTATTTAGATCTGGGAAGGTTTGTGCGGTTACCGGGATTTATTTTTAGATTGGTTTGGGAGAGGAGTGTGGATAAGGTGAATGTCAGGGGTTGAGTGTGCAGGTCGGAGTAATTTTGTGAGTGTGGGGTGATTATGTTCATCATCGACGATACTCCATGGTTTCTGCTTGTTTGCTTCAACTTCTGAGGGTTTTTTCATGTCATTTCCTAAATAGTTTTTGTTGGCGTGAAGTTGTATTAAAATTGGGAAAACAAAAAAACAAGACGGTAATTTTAAAATGGGGCTGTGAATATCATTTGGCAAGGAGCAGCAAATAACTTTAGTAAATTGTAACTTATACAGTGAGTAAAGTGGACAGGTAAATGGAGAGGTAAGGGTGTAGGGCGCCACCACCAGGTGTTAGGTCGTTGGGTGTGTTGGTGTCGAGGTCGCTTCACTTTGCACAAGACACAAGGGGGTGCTCAATAACTAGCCCCCTCGTGGAGCAAATCTGAAAATCTGAATCCATGTGTTCACAGCCATGGGTAGACGGCTTTCTATTCCCAAGGAGTAGGTCATCCCTGCCCTGTGTGTGTGTGTGTGTGTTTGTTTGTTTGTTTGTTTGTTTGTTTGTCTGTCTGTCCATAACTTGTCGACGCAACTTGTCTTAAAATATTGAATGGATAGATATGAGACGTTGTAGGCATCGCCATTACTTCTGAAACAAAAT